TCTATTCGGCCCCAGCAGCGGATGGCTCTGTTCGGTTCGGTCCACGAATGGAATTCTCTACCAGTTTAGGTCCGGCACGTTCGTCCTCGCTTTTTTGCAACAACTCAGTCAATTGGAGAACAAACGACTCTCTTAACTCAGGAACGAGCGAAGGGTTGGCTGAAACAACGAACTTGACCTGTTAGGTCGGACAAAAATAACCAAAAATTAGGAGAAACGAACGAGAAAAAGAAAGCATAAACTCACAAATCTTTGCGACGAATCTCGTCGGAACAGTTAAAAATTCAGAGGCTCCCGGATCATCCGGAGACTTCCGTGTCTGCCAGCCGCGTTCGACCCAGAACCACGAAGATTTGAATTTGCTGATCGTCTACGGGACTTTGGTGATGAGATCCCTAAATCTCGGGTCCCGAACGGATATAGAGAACTGCCCGGATTTCTTTCTCGTCTCTTTCATCAGAAACAGCGCGCGTATGTCATTTGGTGTCGGCATCTCCCAACCTTGTTGATTGAACAATACGAGCAGACTAATGATTTTCAGCCAGGCGATTGGAGAAACCTGGCTAAAACCGACCCCCCAGTCTCTCAGGTACTCGGTTAGGATACGAGGGAGCGGGAAACGGACCCCGAAAGCAATCGAACGCTCGAACACACCAATATAACCGGGTGGCGGACAATGAACCCGTTCCCGAGAGTAGGGTGCAAACATTTTGAGGTCACGAGGAAGCCGGATGGATGTTCGGACCTTGACCACCTTATCATCCGTCATGTCGCTGGCGATGTGAGCCAGCCCCAAGACACTCGTTGACGGCCATTAGCGATACGGACGACGCCAATATCCGCTTGGAACGGACACGACTGCTTGTTCTATCCGGTGATCCTCATCCGGACTCTCTATTTGAAGCGGAAGTCTTATCCTACCCGTCGTGTCACCTTGTAGGGCTTCTTCGTATTGCTCCTCATTGTAACTTTTGGACGATAACGAGACCTCGGCACTCATATCGACTAATAAACAGGAGAAATAAGGAGAAGAGAAAAAAAATTACCTTCCCAGCGGATAATAGATCAGAGGTAAAGGAAAGTCGAACGGACGCACGGGTCGATCGGTTTGTGGAATGAGGAAAAGTCAGAGTAATTTTGAGTGAAAGGAATAGCGTGGGACTTTTCAAAAGGGGAGAAGACATATTTATACTGTCTAAAAGGGGAATGAAGAGACACAATGATTAAGGTACGATACAATGTGTCAGACGAAGCGATTCGCATATGCCATCAGTACAGGGGCTCCAAATAAGAAGGTGACACATGTGAAATGGAAGTTACTAACAAAACCGTCTAAAAGGGAGACGCGCCTTTTGGTGAGAAGGTAACCATCATGGAAGCGACGCGCCTTTTGGAATTAGAGGATGGCCGGTCAGGAGAACGGAAAGAGGCGGAGACGTTTGGTTCGTTAAGGATCTGCAGATCCGGGCATCACGACCGGAGATTATACCTAACGTGGTACCCGAATCAGGGGGCCTTTGTTGGTGGTATAGACCGAACGAATGGTAGTAAGGGAAAAGAGGAACCAGATGCCTTCGGGCTCGAGCCGCTGCCGAATGGATGGGAGAGAATGAGCGAGATCTGATTAATCATTACCCGAAGCTAGTCGTACTGTACGCATTAAACGCGAAGATATACAAAAATCTCTTATCCGACGGCAAGGGAAAAATGGGGACGCGTGGCACGATCGGGACGGATCTCTGATATTGGGAATAGATTGTCAAGTACAATTAGCATTAATTGCTGAACGACTAATATCTAAAAATATCTTGTAAAAGGAAATGTAAAAATCCCCAAGTGGGAAATTGATGGAACCCACGAGGATCTCGATATGCACAAATCACGGACAAACATTCAATCATAAACCTATGCGCAGCGGATCTAAAGGTTTGATGAAGAAAACTTACTGCTTAAAATTTATGTAGATCTGGCTGGCCCGGACAGTTGACCGCAAATCAAATCTTCTCGTAATCGAACAAACTTGACCAATCCGGAAAGCTGACGTCACGGCGAAGTCAACGGCGTTGACCGATCGGAAATCGGACCTCTCACGCTCTCTCACGCGCCGGTGCAAGCTCCAGCGACTGGTTCCTCCTGGTGGCGCGTGCGGGCGCGTGCGGCGGCTTCCGACGGCGATCTCTTCGTTTTGTCGTCCTGGTCGTCGTGGTATGGTCACTTGCTGGTTTTGGTCTCCGGTTTGGAT